AGCCGTCCTCTTGGGCAACGCCTTGGGCGCCCGAGCAGCTCGGTGCCTGCCGAGAAGCCGCGGGCCGCCTCCTCCTCCTCCTCCTCCTCCTCCTCCTCCTTCTCCTCCTCCTCCTCCTCCTCCTCCTCCTCCTAGCTACCATCTGGGCCTAAGAGATAGTCACGGCAACGTGCGAAGCCAGATGCTATTCCACAGCACGTGTTGAAATCATCGGGCGGAAGGCCCGCGTGGCAGCGACGGTGTGGACGGCTTCTCTGTCATTGCTTCTCTTCAGCCCCATGTCCACCAGACCCGACATAATGGCTGAGATATGTGAGGAGGCGCTAAATTTTGATGCAATCATCCTGACAGGAACTGCTAGATCGAGGAGAGAGGTTCACGCGACACGAGGTCGAGTAGAAGGCACGAGGTATATCAACGCAGGATGGAGGGCGGGAGAGCTGACAAACAGAAGCACGGGCATAGTGATTGGATTGCAAGGACGACCTAGAGGATTACAATTCATCAGCATGCCGGAAACACCTTCGGAACTATGCGGACGTGGACCCGCTTTCACAGTGCAGCATCACGACCTACTCATCACGATGATCGGATGCTACTGCCCGCCGCAGCCCAACAAGGACAACACCAGAAAGCAGTGAATACTACGCGACGGTCGTCCGCCTGCTCAAGTGGATGGAGGGGACGGCGAGGGATGGGCCCAGACACAGCGTACTGCTCGTCGCAGGTGACCTCAACGATGGAATGGGCATCACAGCGAAAGGAGCACATCCGGAATCACCAGCACTGGGACCAGGAAGAGCGCTCGAAAGACTACCAGGAGGAGCAGGACAGAAGGCCAGGCACTTCGCGGAGAAGAATGGCCTGCCGGTATTGCATACTGTGGGAAACTGGAGGCCTACGTACTTCGGCGAGAAGAGCTCGAGTTGCATCGACTACATCATGGCACCACAGGAGCTGGCGAACAGCATGATCTCACAAGGCCTGTCGCTGCGCATGGGCACACGCCTACAACATATTCCTTGTCGGGAACATAGAGACCACGTACCATTTCAAGCTACACTGCGACCACCACTACAACAGCGAATTCCGCAACAACTGAAAATAACAGCATGAGACAGGGACGGGCTAGCACATGCAGTCCGACCAGGATACAACAGGAAGGAGTTCATCCGCAACCTCGAGCAGAACGTGGAGCAGTACAAGGCAGAGGGAAAACAGGGCATCAGTGAGATGATCGTCAACGCGGTGCAGAGGCATTGCGGACCCCGGCCGGCTTCCAACTGCGAGGGGCTGAAACGCCAACCAACGGACCTACGACGACGGAGACGAGAGGGCAGAGCAGATCTCACGATCGAGCCCTGCGCAGACAGCCCAGACGTGGCCGAGGAGGAGAGTATACCGCGAAACCCAGCACAGAGGCTCACCGCCATCAAGTAGTTACCGACCTCGTCGCCACGGCCCTCCCAGGACTCGGGCGGAGCCGGGCCGGGACCCGCCGCCGAGAGCCTCCCTGGGAGCCCAGGAGGGGCCCCGTGGGCCCAAGGGACAGCGAAGGGAACAGCCCCTACGCCGACGAGGAGCACGAACACCGACCGAGCTTGTAAAGGGCCCGACTTATGGCCTGGAGAGGCCTGTCCAAAGAATAATCGAAACGACCGCCCCCCAACCAGCCCAGGGAACCCTGCCCGACGGCTGGGCACACTACCGGGCACTCGGCTCAGCGAGACAGAGATGGCACTCGGGGAGATAGAGCAGGAGCTCTAGCAGATCACCAGGCAGCGCGCAAAACTACGGAAGCAAGAGCAGCGGCAGAGGAACGACGCCAGGGCCAAAGAG